GTTCTTCTGGGCCCTTCTGACCGGCCAGATTCAGATTCTATTCAAATGGTCATTTTTGAAAAGGAAAGAAGACTGTTTGAACTTGATGTGATGAGACTGTAGCCGTGTATGACGACTTGTGTAGTTAAGAAACTGAAAGAAAATGAGGACTCTTATGTGATGAGTTTCTTTGTCCTCCTTTAACCTAAGTGTAGCTTGGGAGTTCTCAACATTGCCAGTGATGATGGCCACATGGAGGTGGAACAAAAAGGTCCTTAGTCTTTGTCCTGTTTTTCAACAAACTTCTTTTTCTGTTGGTAGGAAGAAAATCTCAGGAGAGCCAAGAAAGGGGACCTGAAGGTCAGTATACATCAGATGGAGATGGAGAGGATCCGCTACGTCCTCAGCAGTTACTTGCGGTGTCGGCTCATGAAGGTTTGACTTGAGGTGGGGGGGGTCCCACAGTCTGTCCTGCAGACTGAGCATCTTGGGGAGAAGTTGGGGGAGGTCTGGGGCCTGAAGATGCTGCCGAGGCCCCACATCAGGGTAGCCAAGGTGTGAGAGGGCTGGAGATTGTTTTGGAGAAGCATAGATGGTGTGGGTCCACCTCTGGGGACTGTTTTCAGTCTGCTGTGCGCAGCGGTGCTTGGGGTAGAGTCATTTGCATTGGTTGAATGGGGAACCTGGTTTTAAAAACTGTTCTGCAGAGTGGAGGGGATAGCTCAGTAGTAGAGCATGTGCTTAGCATGCATGAGGTCCTGGGTTCAATCCCCAGTACTGCTATTAAAAAAAAAATGAAATGAAATTAATGACCGCTCACACACATACAAAAAGCCTTAAGAATTTAAGGTTCAATTTAAAAAACTTGAAAAGAACTGTTTTGTGTCCATCACACAGTCACTGTTTTCACCCTGGAAAGTTCTTACTTCCCTGACATTTCTTCTCATTTCGTTCCACTTGTCCTCTTAGTTAGCACAGAACAAATACAGTTGATTCTCGAACAGCATGGGTTTGAGCCACACGGGTCCACTGACATGGATTTTTTTCAATAAATACGTCCAGCAGTACATCAGGATGCAGGGATGGTTCAATCTGTGGAGACGGAACCTTGGATATGGAGAGCTGGCAGTAAAGTTATCCCTGGAATTTTGACTGGGCAGGGGGGTTGGTGTCCCCAACCCTGAATTGTTCAAGGGTCAGCTCTACACTCTTCCCCGTGAGAGCACTTCAGATATCTGAAGACAGCTCACTGCCACCTGCAGTGGGCCAGGATCTCCTAGTTGTGGTCTGGTCACTCTCGTGAAAATCAGGATGGTCACCTCCCTTCTCCTGGATGTTAAACTGATAGTAATGCCACCCAGCATCACATAGACAGACAGACGTGCACCCGACAGACACATCACGCC